GTGTTGGTCTTTCACATTAAATTCCAGTGAAATATATTTATGTTTGTGGTTGTAATGTGACAAAATATGGAAAAGTTCAAGGGGTATGAATGCTTTTGCAAACCACTGTATGTTCATATGAAGACAACGCCAATGTTGGACTCAACGTCTTCATTCATTATTTCTGCGTCTCTTAAAGAACTCCAGGTTACATTTCAAAATAAGAGCGCCATCAGTAGTAGTGGATTTTTTTTGAGACGTTTAGAAATAGGGAGAACTAAATGTTTGTTTTTAATGATAGATTGTGATTTGATTTAAAAATAAAAACTAAATCAGTTTGGTCTGCTAAAATTAATGAGAAAATAATTAAAGTCACAAAGAGAAGAACCAATCTTTTCAAAAAACAGAACAAAAACAACCAGCCAATCACTGCTTACGCTTGAGAAACACCCACTTTGAAGGTGGTTTGTGGCAGAAAACAAAAACCAAAATTTTGTTGCTGTAATGTAAGCGACCTCACTTTACAGATCAGCTCACTGATTGTTCAGAGCTGCGCTCAGAACGTGAACCTGACGCGTTCATCAGGCCGCAGCTCCGATCAGTGACCAAACTCCGCCTGATCGAAAGCTTTCTGTCAGAGGATCACATCACGCTGACGCAGAGTTTCCTGCATCCGTCAATTTAAATCAAATCTCTAAACACCGGAAACGTCTCGGCGCTGACTCACAGCAGAGAGCTCTTCTCTTGGAGAAGTGATGAGAAATGAACCCGATGCAGGAAGTGCATTAAACCCAACACGTTTTAAATCTAATCTGAGGATCAGAAGGTACAGAGCTGGGAAATAATAATAACTTTTGTGTTGGATAGTGTTGACTGAAAAACATTATCCTCCACTTTTACCTTCGGCTGCAGGCAATGAAGAGAAAATAAATAAAAAATAATGTAAAACATGCAAGTAAAACACAGTAATTGAGCAACAGAGGTATTTGTTGTTACATCATTAGTAATCAGCTCGGTTTCCTTGACTCGCACTAAATGAATAATGTGGATGACTGATAAAGCTCCCATCTGTCAGAGGAAAGGTCATTCGTCTCTTTTTGCAGGCTGAATGCACGCGCTACTCAGAATATTTTAGTTTAAGCAAAGACAACGGCTGAAAGCGGTTGCAGTGTACGGGACATAAATCACCCGCAGTAAAAGACATGTTTAGGTGTATAAATATTGGGCTGTTGAAACGTTTTCACGTTGGCGTGCGGTCGCCACAGATGTGCGCTGAATAAGACGGAGTCTTACCCTGATGCCAAGCTCCACATTTTCTCCTCCGTAAATTTCCATGCCCTCATCCAGCAGCCCAATCTCCTCAAAGTATTTCCTGTCCACCACGAAGCAGCCAATCAGAGCCGGACTCCTGGAAAGAATAATAATAATAATAAAAAAACAAAACGGTATTCAGACAAACAACATTGTTTTTGAATGCTTGGCAATACGGTAGTTTAAATGCAAAGTATTGTTTGGTACCCGCGTACCTAAACTGCAATTAGCTGACTTAGAGAATCACACCCTGAGGATCTATTTCTTTTTAGAATGCAGCACATTTGATGCTCTGAAGAAAAGCCTTAGTATCTCATTATAAACCTATACAAGGCATCARACTGAAAACAACATTAAAATAAAGAGAGAGAAAAAATAACTCGTTAGTATTCATTCTGTCACTTCCACACATCGCCTCTTATCKATATGAAAATAAACTTTACTCAAAAACATAAAAACAAACATCTTGTTTGGGCGACTTCATCTTTCCTGGGGAAATAAAAACCTGCAAACAGACAAAGACTCAGAAATAAGGTCCTCCAACAACATTGTAGCATCAGTCTCTGAAGTTTGTCTTTAATGTGACGGAGAAATGCATCCCTCACATTCAACATGTATTTAGGATTATTAATTCATTATCACTGACTTGTTTTTATACAAATAAACTTTTATTAAGGGTGCAACAATACATGTACCCATATCAAACAGTGCTTTAGGTTCAATACACACTTTTATGGAACAACACAGATTTTTAACATTTACTTGATCAACTTGTCTTCTGAAGATGCTCTGTGTTGAAGGATCAGTGGATCTGTGTTCGACTACTCCACCTAGGCTGCATTTTTGAGCGCAGATCCACAGAGTAACTTGCTGTTTCAGCAACATTTAATTTAAAAAACTGGACTTTTGAGGTTAAACAAATGTTCATAATTAATATAAATAAATTACAAGTCAAAAAGGGAGTGGAAATTTCTCTTTTTTTGTATCGAAAAAATATCGAACCGTGAGACTAAAGTATCGAACGAATCGTGAATTTTCTGTATCGTTGCACCCCTAATATTTATGGTTATTTTTGTTGTGATGATGTCCAGAAATGGGTGTGACAGAAGCGGTAGGAGGTTCTTAAAGACAAATGTTGTATAAAGTACCTCAAAGTGATACTTGAGTAAAAGTACAAGTAT